CTAAAAATTGTCTAAAGTTTAGAAATTTACATGTTTAGAGTGAAACCAAGGAAGAGATCTATGGTTGATGACCCCCTTTCTTTTCTTGTAGAGAAAGTCTTAGTTTTCAGTAATTGCTGAATGCTTAGTTTTATACCATAAAGCTGTCAGGACTGATTTGTTAAGTAAAACTTAAAAAACAGTTGTATTTCATAGTCCAAGAAGCACAGACTCTACACATAAAAATATAACATTATAATTTTTTTAATTCTGACATTTTGTAGGGTTTTAGTTTTGCTTTTTTTCCCCTCTCTTTACATTTTAGAAATGTTGTGGAAACTGGAAACGTTGGGGTTTCAGTAGTATATCACCCTGGGGAAGAAGTTGGTAATGCTGTTCTTTCTTTTGTAGCTGCCCTGCCCCCTTTCCCAGGAAACAAAGGCTGTTTTGTTTCTTGCCTGCTTGTGAGGTCTCTGCTGCACCCCATGTGGGTGAATTGCTCTGTGCTTTGTTGAAATGCTTAAGATACTCAGAAGGTAAAGAATAGGATGCTCTGAAGAGGAGTAGATTACAGCTTCAGTAGATAATAAACAAGGTTGTTTGAATAGTCATTTAAGTGAGCTCTTTATATGGAAACCTTGTAGTACTGTTTGTATCCATAGGTAACAACATTTAGGTAAACACAGCCAAAAGTGCACACTTGCAGTCACCAGACTATTTCTGGTACATAATAGTCTGGCACATATTTTGTGCACGTTTGTGCTTCATTCTTTGGACTGGTTCTTTCTTCAGTTTTTTATTATCTTAACTAATTTTTCCCATTTGTACTTAATTATGTGGACTAATGATTCTTCTTCCATTCTTTTGATATCTTAACTGATTTTTCCTCTTCTAGCTTTTGAATAGTTAAATAAGCTTAGATTTGCCATCAACCATGGCTGTTGTCATTAATGATTACTTCTTATGGTATCTTAATTCTGGGAAACAGTGAGAAGCAAAGGATAGTTAGTTATCTCTTTATTTTCCTGCAATTTTGTTCTTGTCTAATTTGCTTTCACCAGGAATGTATATTACCTTATTATTACTTTATAAATAATTCCTTAAATGTCATAATCTAATGTGGAAAGCTCAAAAGCTTTTTGTAATGTTTCTTAATAGATGAACTATTTGACAGTGTGTAGCTTTATCATGTTTTATAATTCCAGTACTCTTCAGTTTACCTATAGAATATTGTCAAATTTTTTTTTTTAATTGCTTGGAACTAACAGTATTTTTTCCCCAGTAGCTATTTGTTACAGGCCTCAATTTATGGCGTGTTCACTACACTTACACATGATGGATCTCAGTTAGTCTCCCAATTCACGTTTAACTCACGCTGTCAAATGACTTGACATCATAGCACAGTGAAACATCTCTGTGCAGAAATAAGTTGAATGTTCTGTTGAAATTCCAGGAACATGTTTTATCAGAAAGGAAGGATCACCTTAGCTCAATCTACACCACCTATCTTTCTCATTTAGATCTTAATAGGAAAGATACATGAATTCCTTCATGAATTATAGGAATACTGGAAAACAATATATGATATGTTAAATGGGAAGAGGTGGAGCATATGTGTCTGTAATGGGTGACAAGGTATAGGACGGCCAGGAAGGCGTGGGGAGCACCAAGGCATGGGCGTAAGGCAGCGGTTCTCAACCTGTGGGTTGCAAGCCCTTTGGGGGTCTAATGACCCTTTCACAGGGGTCACCTAAATACATCCTGCATAACAGATATTTATGTCATGATTCCCAACAGTAGCAAAATTACAGTTATGAAGTAGCAATGAAAATAATTTTATGGTTGGGGGTCACCACAACATGAAGAACTGTATTAAAGGGTCATGGCATTAGGAAGGTTAAGAACCACTGTCTTAAGGTTTAGAAAGAACAGCTCTAGAGAAGATAGTCAGGAATGTTATGGGACATAATAGAATACTTAGTCCTCATAATGACTCCAAAAGGAGATGTTAGTATCCCCAGGTACAGTTGGGGAAAATAAGGATTGCACCAATTACTAAATTGGCATGTCCAATTCTAATCCATTTTTGACTCCAAAGTCCTTTTTCTTATAATATGGCACTTGTCACTTATATGTTGGTGACAACTACAGCAATTTTATTAAATGTGGTTGTTGGTGCCTGGAAAATCTTAGCACTGGTTGATGACTCATTGTTGGCTTTTTCCCCCATCCATTCCCCATAAATCACATGAATGAACCTTTGAGCCATTTATTCTTTATAAAGATATTTCCTAAATCTTCATGAGTCAGTATGATTTTATTTTTGCCATGTAAAAGATAAACAAGGCTTTGAACAAGATTGAGCAGTGTAACATGTTTTGACATCCTTTCTCTGTTCTTCCAGACAAAATATTAAAACAAGATAACCGAAAAGACACAACTATAGTAATAACGTTTTTTAAAAACTTCATTGGTCCGAAAATAAAACCACACAAAGCATTAAGAATGCTGCTTGAGGGCTGCCACGTTCAGCTCCTTGGGATTATAAGAACTGAAAGAATATGGAAGGAAATACATAAATATGCTTAGTGATAAAAGCCAGGCATACAGCTGACTTGGCCCTGGCCTACTGCAACGTAAGAGTTTTGTTGCTTTGGGTCTTTTTTTCTTTAAGGAGATAGAGTCTTTCTTTGTCACCGAGGCTGGAGTACATGGATGTGATCATAGTTCACTGTAGTCTCAAAACTCCTGGACTGAAGGGATCCTCCCATGTCAGCCTCTGGAATAATTAGGACTTAAGAGATGCATACCATCACACCTGACTAACTTTTTATTTTTTGTAGAGACCTGCTGTGTTGTCCAGGCTGGTCTCAAACACCAAGCCTCAAAGTGATCTTTCCACCTTGACTTTCCAAAGTGCTGGGATAACAGATGCGAACCACCGCACCTGGCCAGGAAGCATAAAACTATATTCCTAAACAGCTCAGAGTTAAATGTAACTCACAATAGAAATTTTAATATTTGGAATGGAATAATCATGAATTATACTACAAAATGTATAGCATTCAGTTAAAGTAGGACATATAGGTAAAATTGACATAAATTCTCCACAAAAGATTTAAACTAGTTAAGTTCAACTCAAAAATTAGAAAATGAAATAACACAAAAATTAGGAAAGAAAATTAGGAAAATTAGGAAAGAAAAATAGAAATAAGTCAATAGTGCCATCACCTTATGTTAACCAGTGGCTCAGAAGATTGAGTTGAACTTAGGCATTCTGAGAGAAGCTGGTATGTAATTTTCCTTTCTTTTAAAATATCTGAGTTCTGTGTCAGTGTTATGCTGCCCTCATAGAAGATGTGGGCAGTCTTGAGCTAAGGCACGGTGGTGTGCTCTTGTAGTCACAGCTACGGGCCTCAGGAGGCTGAGATAGGAGGATCACTTAAACCCAGGAGTTGGAGGCCAGCCTGGGCAACATAGAGATAGATACAAGAAAAAAATAAAAAAGAGTTGGCCAGTCTAAAGGGAAATTAGAATTTCTATACTATCTTAGTTAATTTTCTGCTTCAATGAATACCAGGTACTAATGTGGAAATGCTTAGGTGCTTTTTTCCAGTGCATACTTTGTGCCAGATGGCTCTGCTGGGCACTGAGAACGTAAAAGTGAATAGAATACCGCCCCCACCCCTGTGGCACTTAGTGAAGGAGAGTATATCAATGTGTAAGCAGAAAATTAGAACAAGATAAGAAATGCCAGTAGACAGGTGGAAAAGTTCCTAGGCAATTCCCTGAGGGAAAAAGATTCTTGAAGGGCTCTGGGAAGGCCTCATGAGGTTTGCTCAAGGAGTTTCCAAGAAGAGACATTTACTAAGCAGCTGTTTTGTTCTAGCAGCAGGACATAAAAAATCAGCACAAGCAGTTTGCTGTGTGACAGGGAGGCCAGTGAGCTACAAGGGCCTTCGGCCTGTGTTAGAACTTGTGTAGTGAAGTCTATGAGGGAGATTGGTCTTCAGTTTTCCTTATGGTAATATCCTTGTAAGGTATCGTGGTTAAGTTGCTTGGTGACGGTGGGAGAGTATTCCTCTGTTATACTCTGGAAGAGGTTGCATAAGACTGTTATTTCTTCCTTGGCCTAGGATTTTCTTTGGTCAGTGTATATTGAAGATTAGTAGAAAATGTCTCCAAAATTTCAGTTGAACAGTTGGATATGTGTCTGAAATGTAAAAATATGTCATTTTTATTGACATTTTCGTGTAAAACTTCCATTGGCTCTAAAGGTTAATCCACATTTTAATCAATGTCGTATCAGTGACAGAAATTCACTAGTGTAAAAATCCAGTCTGTTTCTAGCCACTGAATGCTGTGACAGATTCAGCTGAAACAAACAAACAAATTCATACTACTTGTGCTTTATGCTGGGGTACAGTGGTATTAAATGAGACAAATCTCTGTCATCCATAAACTTGAATACATCAGATCATTTTGATTACTTTATTAAGCATTGGTTTTGGTTTTTTTTTTTTTTTTGATAGGTTTTACTGTGTTGCTTTGGGGAATGGATTTTTAACTAAATTTATGAATTTTTTAAAGTAATCTACTTGTATCATTTAAACTTGGGAAGTTATAAATATGTCTCTCCAGTTCAGTGACCCAGTCTCCTGTCTCCAGAGCCAATCGATATTATTTGCTTTAACTATTCTTCAGTTCATATCCTTTGGATAGGCAATATCTAACCCGTTTCTCTCTCTCTCTCTTTTTTTTTTTACACTTCCTGTTCTACACTTTGCTTTTAATTTAACGTTTTAGAAACTGTTCCACATCACCGCGTATTAGAATCTGCCTTGCATCCTCTAACAATGATGGTGACGACAACAAGTGAAGGTGGCCATTATGATACTTCCAACCTTACTACCAGAAAAGCTACACTGAATATCCTCAATAGCGTAGAATAACTAAATCATCAATTTCTCTTCCTTACTAGTTTTGTAGGACAGATCTATTGTTTCATTTTTTCCTTTCAGCCATGAACCAGAGAATCAGTCAGAGTGCTCCAGTTAAACAGCCACCTCCCCTGGCTCCCCAGAGCCCGCAGGGAGGCGTCATGGGCGGAAGCAACTCCAACCAGCAGCAGCAGATGCGGCTGCAGCAGCTGCAGATGGAGAAAGAGCGACTGCGGCTGAAGCAACAAGAGCTGCTCCGGCAGGTGAGGCCCCAGGTTAGAGACCGACCTTCCACTTTTGGGGGTTTGTTTTCTTTCCTGCATAAAGGTGGGAAAATTTTATTTTAGCGTTTATTAGTACCAGAAAGATTATCTGTAAAACTAGAGTGACATAGAAGTATTCTGTCCAGCCCGGCCCTTGTCTTAGTTTCTCGACTGGCCTTTGACCACATGTATCTAACTTAGACACCTGTACCAGAAAGCACTATTTTGGCCGTGGTCATGTGGTTGAGCAAAAATTGAAGGAAGCAGGGATTCCTCCTCACATGTACGTGGAGTTGTAGGTTACTGTGTTTCTGAGGATTTCACTAAGGGAGAGACACTAGGACATGAGTTGAGGAAAAGCGCCCTTTACTTTCAGCCAGTACTTTTGTGTATGGGTTACACCAGTGTAACATTCTTCAAATGACAAATATATTTCAGTACTATTGAATCTAAGAGTTTTTATTTAAAACCTAATAAAAGTTTTCTTCTGCAAGTTTAGAGATGCCAGTGTGCCTTAAAATTCCCTGCTATGGAGGTTTTCATGTTGAGAAAGGTGGGACCTAACAGGGAGCTCTGAAGCCCATGTCACCATTTCCATCAGTTTGCTTTCAGGAAGTACTGTTGGTCTTTATGTTCCATAAGAATAGGTAATTCCTCATCTCAAAATTAATTTTTACTCTATCTTGTTTCAAAGTGGTTAAATAAGTTCAGGTGTAAGGGATGTGATCTTACGTTAAGCAGTTACAGATATTTAAAACTGTCCATATAAAGATGTTTGAGTGGATCATAAAACATGGCACAGTAGTGATAAAGCACAAAAGGTGCAGGTGTGCCGGGAATAAAGTCTTCCTGTTTCCCTTGTGCTCTGGATGTAAGTAACTAGGAGTTTCTTGGTTTTTTTTGTTTTTTTTTCCTAGAGATGTACGTGTATTAACAAACATTTTATGTGTGTGTATATATATATACACACACACACACACATACATACATACTAGAGTCTTTTTCTACCTAAATCATAGCATAAATGTAAACATTTAGAAATCCTTACACTACTGATACCAGGATGTAGGGATTTAAAGATGTGGTTTTTTAAAAAAGACTATATTTTAAAAGTATCTCTTTGAGTGTCAGAGAAAATAACATGAACTCAATACTGCTATCTGTGAACTCTTCTTATTCAGGATTTCAGGAACTAGTACTTGAGAATTTAAATTAAGACACAGAATCTATCTCCTAGATAGATTCACCTTTAAACTGTTCTCTGTCCATAATAATATGTCAGTATAATTCTAGTATATTTGATGTCAAAGGTAAGCCCAATAGGAGGAGTAAGATAGTATTGCCAGCGTACAATATCAGGAAGTTGCTAGGACTCAGAATACGGTGCCCTTTACGTACTGAACTAAAGGAACATCCTGCAAGTCTCTCCCAAAGCAAGGGGTGAGGCTGTTCTCCAGATTCCTTTATCTACCTGGAAATCAGACCCACCAAAAAGCAACACAATCATCTTCCATCCCTTCCCTGAAATTTCATCGATCAGAGAATATTGAAACTTACCACAGAGGAAGAGACTGAAAACGAAACATCACGCCTAGAGCTCAGATGAACTTTGCCCAGAGTATTGCATGTTCTCAGATCCCATTCAGTTTCCACAGAAATATTTACTAACTGTTGCCTGAGCATTGGATCCATTCATTCCCCCTACAAATCATTCACTGTCCTTCACCCTAACCCCATTTCCTCCATCTCCATTTCCCTTATGAAGATGGGTTTATAAGTGTCTGGACCTCATTTGGTTCCTGGGTAATCATTCTTATGTGATTCCTCTGTGCTTACGCACATTAAATAAATTCATAGGCCTTTTTCTCCTATTAATCTGCCTATTTTCGGTTTATTTTCAGCAAATCTTTAGAGACAAAGGGGAATCTTTCCCTTTGGTTCCCACAAAGTGGTCTTGAAAGAAATGTTTTTTGCCTGCTATAAAGAAAATGCAGAGGGGAAATATATTATCACAGTTTAAACACCTCTAAATGCCTTTCTAACCAATTTCTATAAAGGAAGAAATACTTTTCATGTAGGTAAAACTGTTGTTGGAACAAAGTAGAACCATCAAGACTATAATGACATGACTATTAGAAGAAAGCAAAGTCTGTTTAGCATACCCTGTTTTCATTTTGTTATTACTGAATATTAGTTGATCTGAATAAATGCAAGTCTCAGTTTTACATATGAATGAAGACTATGAAAATCAAGAAACTTTAGTAAGAAAACATTCTTTTATTGCTAATGTCAAAGTCATACTGTTTTAACTTTTTAAATCTGGAAATGGAGCTGTTCATCATTTTGTTGTATGTGGGGGTGGGGTTGTGGGTAAAATGCTGCTACTTATAAAACTCTTCCTTCCAAAGAATTTTTCTCAATCTTACTCTCACTCTGGGTGATGGGTCCTGGAAAGAATAGCTTTTCTTCCTTTAAAGGTAACGTCTGCATTTCTTCTCTTCTACATACTGTGTTGTAGACCTGCTCTATTCTTACATTGATAGTCTATTTTTTAGGGGTTTTTTGTTTTTGTTTTTTAGCAATCAGTATAAATTCAGTATGTCTTAAGTCTTTGGGCTTCTTATGAATTTCCATTGACAGTTTCTCTTACCACTGAAACATCAGGTATATTTTGCCTGCTTTATCTAAAACTCAGAAGCAAAGAACCTACCTGACCATTATCAAATTTTATCTCAGTCCTGAGATCTAAAATCTTGCTGTCCTGTCCTTAATGCTCTTATAGATTCTGAGGCTTCAGTTTTGTGATGTGGTGACTCCATCGGCTCCTGTCTTAGTCTGCTGCTTCTTGGGTAGCTTGGGAATTCTGTGCCATGGTGATGTGTCTGGATGCAATTTATAAGTCAGCCTGCATAGCCAAACCATAGAGCTTACAGTAATTTTTATCCCATCTTATTTTTTACTCTTAGGCAATGCGGAATATCAATCCCAGCACAGCAAATTCTCCAAAATGTCAGGTAGGCTCTTATCTGATGTTTTAGCATTGGAAAAAAAAAAGGGATATTTAATTAGGAAAGAGAGAAACTTACATTCCAGGGGCCTGTGCTCACCAGAGATTAGCCCGTAATACAACTTTGAGCTATCTTAAGTCATCTTTCTATTGAAATACTTAAGTTAACATTGCAATTACCAGAAAGTCTACATATCTACTCTTTCCCCACTCCTCCCAGAAAGTTTCTAGTATTTATTTTGATTCTGTGGAGGTCTGTCTTACTCCATTTTTAAAATGTGTTATGTCTCACTTGTACATCCTATCAGCCTCTGGGTGTGCCGAATTATTACTTGAATAGCTTAAAATAGTATTTATAGAGATTTAAAGGAATTAATAAACTGAACAGTAACAAAGGTAGCACAAATTATTTACTTGGGTAGGCTAGTTTAGGAAATCTTAATATGAATCCTAATACTTGAGGAAAAGAAAAATTCTAATAGACATTCTTAGAGAAGAATATCAGAGTTATCAGAAGAGAAAAGATCTGCCTGGACAGTGTTTCAAGTTTCCTTATTGACTTTTATCAACATTTCTGTCTGATACACCTCAGTGAGGTGTATCAAGATGCAGTGGCTGTGAGAGCATCTTAACTAGATGGGAAGATTGTGGCCGTTTTTCCTTCTAACTCAGGCATTTATCTGACTCACAGGAAGAACCTCATTCTTGAAACCAAAGCAATTCTGTGTGTTTAGGGTCTACAAGATTAGAAGAAATTTAGCAGTCAGAGGATCATTTCATATTTGGGCATCATTTCTCTTGGGCAGAAGCAATAATAAAACACCTCATGTTCTGTGTAGCTCATTCTATGCTAGCCTGAGTCAGTCCATTGATTTAGAGCCTGCTGTAAAGGGGAGTTGGCAAAGCCCATCACTGTGGGCGCTTCTCCCTGTGCAGTGGAGGCCATGCTGATAAAGCAGGTGCAGTCCTTGTAGAGGCTTTCAACTGTCTGAGAGGGGAAACACCAGTTTTTTTGTTTTTTTTTAAATGTTTCTCATAAATGTCTCCATTTAGTCAAAAGACCACGTAAGGGATAACTTATAACAAGTCACCTTCACGAAAGCAGAACATAGAGACAGTTAGCATGAAGGGCACTGATACTGCTTTTGACTGTGAAGAGGACCATAGCATTGGGTCTGGAAAGTGAAGACATTGTTTCTTTTCCTTTTCTCTGAAGTGTTTATGAAAGAAGGCTTTTATTCATGATAAATGAAGTAGAAACTTAACACAGGAGCAAAAATTAAGAGATTTGGATTCAAGTAAAAAGTCTTCCATGCTGGGCAGCGCCATCGCTCAAAGGAGTGGGCACCGGCCCCATATGCCAGAGGTGGCAGGTTCAAACCCAGCCCTGGCCAAAAACTGCAAAAAAAGTCTTCCATACCAAAAGTGGGTGTTGAAATTGTCTCCCCCCCCCCCATTTTTTTCTACTCGAATCTTAAACTTTGTATCTGGTAAATAAATCATCTGCTTCTAGGTGTTTGTTTTACAGTCAAAGACTAAATAGTTGCTGTTATTAAAATTATCATCCAGGAAAGCTTTAGAAAAGGTGAGGCTTATTAGTAATAAAAATTGTAAGGTACTAAAGTTACAGACTAGATTTGTTACATACGTTTTAGTTGTCAACATATTTATCTAGTATAGTTACAAAAATTATCAGGAAATGTATGAAATTCCAGTACAGGGTTAAATTTGGAGTAACTCAGATAGAAATAATCTAGTGGTATTTGTATAAAGAAAACATTTGTGTGTGTTTTTTTCATCCTGTTATTTTCTAGGTGACCTTAAGGAAAATGTAAGGGAAAATTTCAAAGAAGAGTCGTATCTTAACTGAAGATGGTTTTATCAGGATAATCAAGAAAGCCCGAAAGGGCATTTCGGTCTCAAAGACCAGGCATAACTTGGTACTTACATACCTAGTTCAGGGTTGTCTGTTTGCCCACTTTTCTAACATATGTTAGTTTACCCGAGTTAACAAGCAATAGTAAAATCAGTGTGATTATTTTGTAATCAGATACCTCGTATGCTGTGGGATGTGGGAAGATACTGAACTTCATTCAGGTACTTCCAGTAGTGTTAACAAATGATGTCTGTGTTTACAGTAGGAGTCAGTGGTCATGTGACTGTCAGGCTAGGAGCGGTGAATGAAAAATTCCTCAGAGATGTGACTCTGCAGTGGTATTAAAATGCAAAATTTGGGGTGGTGCCTGTGGCTCAAGGAGTAGGGTACCTGCCCCATGTACCAGGGGTGGCGAGTTCAAGCCCAGCCCCGGCCAAAACTGCAATAAATAAATAAATGCAAAATTTTATAAAATTAAGCAAATTTTAAAGGCATTCATGTATCCTCATAGTTAATTAGTAGAATTTTGGAAAAATCTGTTCTTAGAGCTTAAAATTTTAATTTCATTTTGATCACAGTTTTTATATTTCTTTTTGTTTGTTTGTTTGTTTTTGAGACAGGAGCCTCCAGCTGTCCCCCTGGGTAGAGTGCTGTGGCTTCACAGCTCACAGCAACCTCCAACTCCTGGGCTCAAGCAAGTCTCCTGCCTCAGCCTCCCAAGTAGCTGGGACCACAG